TTCTCCAGGGTTTTTTTTTTTTTTTTTTTTGTTAATTTTGTTGGATTTCTGTTATTGTGTTTATTTGGGGTACTGAGGATTAAATTCAGGGCCTCAGCCATGTAAATCATACACTCTGTTAGCTATTTTACTTCCCCATCTCAAATGTAAATAGCTTTATTTCCTACCAATCAGAAGTGCAAGATATTAGAGAAGTTACAGCAGGACACTAAAGTACTTGCCCAGCATTTGAAAGACCCTAAGGCCAGCACTGAGAAAACAAAAGAATCTTCTCAAAAGAAAATATCAAAGAAACAAAAGGCATAAATATTAAGAAATGGAGATGACCAAAAAGTCTATTTCCTCTTTTAATACAGTACATTCTGGAACATCATATGAAAGTAATCCTGTTAACCATTAAGTACTAAACTAGTACAGGCAACACAATCACAAATATTTAAGTTTGAAGCTGACTCATAAAAATCTAAAATATTTCATGCTGTAGGGTTTCAAGATAACCATCAACTTAACGCCTTCCTCTGCTTCAATCATGTTATTCCGAAACCAATATTAAAAATATTTTTACCTACTTTTGGAAAGGGTGACTTAGATATCAGTGAATACAGAAAAGCATACACAATTGGATTTTAACGTATCATCATTCCTGCAGCTGATCTTGGATTTACTTTGTCAGTGGTTAAGCACCTATCATAACCTACTACACTAAAATAAATACATAGCATATATGTTTATGAAAAGAGGTGTCTTAAAGTCTGAACTATTATCCTTTTCAGGGAATATTAAAACTGTTAAATGAAAATCTACTTGAAAATTGATCATAACTACAAAACTGTTAAATTTTCTAAGAATCTTAGCTTAAATCCTAGTTTCTAGTGGCCTTAAATAATTAAATCTCTTTTCAAACCAGCAATAAGTACTATAATATAAAATGAAAACTTATTTTTTGGTGGTGGTGGTACTGGAGATTGAACTCAGGGCTTCATGCATGCTAAGCATGTGCTCTACCACTGAGCTGCAACCTAGGCCTAAAATCAAAAATTGTTAAGTTATGAGCACGGAAAGTCAGTAAATTTAGGCCAAAGATTTTTAACCATACATTCATAGGCACTGACTTCTAATTCATCTGAAGCAAAGATATTTTAGTTACTCTTTTTAACTGAATAGAAACGGAAGAAGCACAGAACAGCCCATTTCATAGATACCAGGTTACAACTTTTCAGAAATACCCCGTTTTAAGTAATGTATTGAACATCATTAAGAATATGTAATCTACATCATTCCAATTAAGATATGTTACCAAAATAATCACTACAAATATTGCAGAATATCAAATTCTTGACCATAGTTTGATAATGCTGAAAAGAAAGAAAAGGACTCTATAAAACAAGCACACTCACACACAAACAAAAATCAGAAAGTACACCACACCACCCCCATCTTCCAGTTCTGAAGAACACTAGAGAAGTCCAACCCTGTGAATTATACGAAGAACAGCAAATATTAAACTACCTCGGTATTTATGCTGCTGTACCTCCACTTTTAAAATATGCATCTCAGCTCCCCAGATACCATCATCCACAGAAACCAAGCAGCTATCCAACAGACTTTCAGTGTCACCATTTATTATTTATAGTGTTAAATGGGGGAAGTGGCTCTGATGTCACCAACCCTACCCAGTGGAATCACTGACTCAATAAACATTTTCACACTGGAGAAAATTTGGCTAGGAAAACATTCCGCTAGGTTAAGTAAATTCTTTCACCTTTCCTCTCAACTCTGGAGTGAAGTTGTTACTGTGCTAGCGGAGATACAAAGAAACTTGTCAGGGTTTCCACAGGAAAAAACCTGTGAATGTCCATTTGCTGAGGCAAAGACTTCCTCTCAACTCTCCAGAGCCTAGTGTGATCTCCCCAGCGTTCAAATTGGCAGGTAATACCCATCATATTTTATTTCTTCTACCAAGTCATTCACTCGTTAACAAACCCTTCACTTCTACTTGCCACTCTCTCATAGACTCAGTCCTGTTTCTAAAAAATTCCTCCTGGCCACAGTCATAAAGAGGAAAGATATTGGAGGCATCCGTGGAACAGGGCTGCGAGCCTGGCTACCAATGGTTTCCAACTAGAAACGGATGGGGATTGAGGGGAATCCCTTCATTTTTCTTTCTTTCTTTCTTTTTTTTTTTTTTTTTTTTCTTCCTTTTTTTAAAGAACTGGTGGCAGTGATGAGCACGACTTTCTCTTTCTCCCCATTTCTTGAAGCAGCTCTGGAAAACGTAAAGTTATGGTTTCCCTTTCCTGGGGGATGGAATCCTGACTACCTGGAGCCTTGCTATGCAAACAACCCTCACCGCTGGGTAGGAAACCCCTTTGTCCGAGAAGCCTGACACCACAGGGCCCGGGAAAGAGGCCCCTTATCCGTCACAGCTTCAAAACCGAGAGCTCCCCCAGACCCGAGCCCTGAAGGGCCTAACTGGGCATCCACACAGTCAAAGGTTGGGGAGAAGGTGCTGAGACCCCTCCTGGGAAGCAGAGGCCCAGGCAGCCCTATCCGATCTCCTCCGTACGCCCTCCCACCACCATCTCTTTGGCCAGAATGGGGCTTGGAAGCGCGGTGCGGGCCTGGGCCGGAGAAATACTGGGGCGGGGGGACGAAGGGGCGAGGGGGTGGAGGGGCTCCCCCTCCTAGATAAGGAAGAGGAGATGCTACAGTAAGGATGACCTAGGGCTGCGGCACAACTGTGCGAGGGTCGTCCGAAGAATGGGCCCGGAGACGGGAAGGGAGGGAGCAATCCGATGGGCATGGAGGGGGCCGGGCTGAAGCTGGCCTGAGATCTCGAGGGATCAGCAGGAACCGCGCCGGGCCCAAAGCCAAGGAAGGCGGGGGGCGCGAGCCTGGGCCGCGGCGGCCAGGAAGGGCCCTGGCTGGCCTCGCGCGGGACGCTGAGGTGGGCAGGCCCGGCCGGGGCCGGGCGGACGGAAGAACGGACGGTCCAGCGGGCCGCACTCACCATAAGCTCGATGGTCTTATCCTCAATCACCGAGTCGGGCTCCATGGCGGCCCCGGCGGCCCCGCCTCGCTCTCCCCACGCAGCAGCGAACGGCCCGGGCGGAGGAGGCGACAGCGGAGGCGGCAGAGGAGGAGGTGGCTCTCGCACCCACTCTAGCTGCCAGCCCGCCCGGGCCGCCGGCAGCTCCGCCCTCCCCCTCGGCGAACGCAGTACGCAGAGCAAGGACTACAACTCCCAGCGGGCGCTGCGAGCCCCGCAGGGCGTTGTGGGAACACAAAGCGGATCCCGGATCCCTCTCTGTTTGCAGCCCGAAATTGAATTCTGAGCCGAATGGAGCCGTGGACTGTAAATCCTGCGCGTGTGGACCTGAAAATTTACGGGTTTGCCTAGATTAAGGCCTCAGAACTACCACGACTACAAGTCCCAAAAAGCCTTGCGCGCTGGATCTTTTTTCCGGCTCTTTTTTCCTGACTTCCGGACAGCCCTCTGCTGCTTATACCGGGACGGAAACTCGAAGACAACTCCTCACTTGACAGAGATCTTGCGTATGCGACCAATTTCTGCACATGCGCTGTTGGTGTCTGCAGCGCCAACTCTACGCCGAGGTGGCGGCCGGGCTGTTTGCTAGTGTTTCCTGTGGCTGGAGCAGATGATGTAGACCGGCGATAGGTGCGTTAGAGACAGAGTCCTGAGGTTTGAGTATGAGAGGACAGCGAGCCAGAGAAAAACTTGAGCAAGGGAGAAGGGTCTAAGAAGTTGGACATCCCAGGAGAAGGGGATTTGGAGATTTTGTTGGAAAGAGGCAGTGTATGGAGATGTGCTGTTTGTATGCCACATGAACTAGGAGGAGCTGAATCTATTTTTTAACCATCCAGCCTCTACTGGGTACAAAGTACTGAGAATCAGAAAGGACCCTGTCTTCATAGAGTTTAATTCCGATAGGGGGTAGAGAGTGGGAGGCATTAAGCAGAAGAGTAACAGTGCTAAGAAGGAACTCTGCCTTCAACTCTGAATTTTACCAGCTCAGTATCCTCTAACAAAAATCCACCAGCAGTAGCACACTGGTAGTTGAGTTTAATAAGCTGAGTTTGTTACTAGTTGCAGTGAGAAAAAAGAAAAAAAAAAAAAAGCGCACTATGAGGAATTGCAGTGCATCTCAAGGTAACAGCTGTTAGGTGAAATGAAGTATGGTGTCGAACAGGTATAATCCCAGCGTTCTGGAAGGTGATCCAGAATTGCAAGTTAAAGTCCCCCTGGGTCACTGAAGGGGCCTGGAGGTGTAGCTCAGTGTGAAGGCCTTGAGTTCAACTTTGGGGGGGGGGGGAAGGGATTGTCAGGTGATTTGGGAGAGGTTTTAGGAAGCACAAATACCTCTCTGGAGACCATGTCATCCAATGGAGACATCTATATGATTGGACATCTCAATAAATCCTATCTGAAAGAAGGGAATACTACATTGAGGTTAGTGCTATATTTGGTAAAGAAGCAGCCCCTGGTATTAGCCTGATTAGTACTTTTTCATTTTTTGTGGTTAGGACAGTATTCATGTTTTATTTGAGTTCAGACATGGTTATAAATTCTTGGTTTTGTCTGGATCCATTATGGTCACAGAATGGTCTTATATGATATTGATGTTCTGTGGAACTCTTTCTGTTCTACAGGAGAACACGAGGCCTAGCTCTAAGGGCCAAGCTTTTGTCTAGTGACATTAAGAGCTGGCTGATTTCACCAGGCCAGCTTCCAGATGTCAGAGGCTGCTCTCCTCTAAAGTGTTTTTGCATTCTCTGTATCTGTAAAGTGAAGTGACTGGATGACCTAGAAATCTTTGCCGTTTTCAAGGCCATGTTATTACAGCTATCTGTACACGATCAGAACGCAGTGTAAGTTCCCTGAAGATACTTTGAAATTTCATAGTCTTTATGAAGTGCTTTTTACCAGGAAACCTGGAGAAATACAATAGGAAGAAAGAATGGAAAGTTATTGCCACTAATGTGCTATCTAAATTTCTCCACATTCCTCTCCATATCTAAACCTCAATAATAAAACAAGGTTGGGATAAATGACCTTTGTTTCAGTTACCTATTGCAGCATGACAAACCACCCTTAGACTTAGCATCTTAGAATAACAATAGTTTATTATTTTTTACAATTGTGTGGGTGGCTCAGCTGGGCCCACATGGTGTGATCTGAGGTAACACATGGGGCTGCATTCAGCTGGGAACTCATTCAAAAATGATTTCTCATCCTCCAGGACCTCTCTTTCCACAAGGCTTGTCTGCCTCTTCATAGTGGTTTGAAAGAGGGCAAGCATCAGTGAACAAGTGCTTATCAATCGCTTGACTGTCTCACTCTTGCTAATGGCCTATTGGCTGAGGCAAGTCATGAAGCCAAGCCTATAGTGTGGCAAGGTTCTGTAGAAGGCTATAAATACAGAGGCATGGTTCATTCCAAGACTAAAAGTCCCAGCACCTGCCACAAGGCATAGCGTGTAGGACACAGGTAGGAATCACCATCTTAATATGAGCCCCCCCCCATGTGTATGTTTGTCTCATGCTATCTTTCTATTGTTTTAAAATTTAACAGTTTTGGGGGCCTGGCCCTAGCTCAGGCCTTTAAGTGGCTGCTTCCACAAAGCTGTCAGCCTCAGGTTGCTGGAGTTCGAACCTCACACCTCTCCAGCTGGCCAAAAGTGCCCTGAAGGCATTCGAGGAACAAAAAAAAAAAAAAAATTTAACAGTTTCATGGGAGGGTGTTGAGACACTCTTGCTATGTAGTTCAGACTGGCCTTGACCTCACTATGTATCCCAGCTCCTCCTGCCTCAGTCTCCCTAGTGTTAGAGTTACAGGCATGTGCCACCACAGTTTCACATTTTAAAATCTGCATTTCCAGCTTCTCTTACAAAATTAGAATGTCTGACTTGGATCTACATGGCAACAATATGCAGTAATTAAAGAGCAGCTACTTTTTCTTTCAACCCAGGACCTCATACAACTTAGGCAAGTTGCAGCAAATGACATCTAACTTGCAAGTCTCCTGCCTCAGTCTCCCAAATAATTGAACTCACAGGTGTGAAGCCCATGATGCCAGCTACAACTGTTTTTTATTTTGGGGGTGGGGGTTGTGGCCTGCTCAGCCCACCCTGGGGGCGGGGCTAGTGTGGCATGTGGTGCCGGGGATTGAACCCTGGTCCCTGCGCTTTTGCCTAAGATTGCTTAAGCAGATGCTTTAGACCACTGAGCTATCTCTCTGGCCCTTATTTTATTTTTATATATATTTGGTTCAGGGTCTTACTACGCAGCTCAGACTCCTAATGATCCTCCTGTTTTCAGCTTCCCCAGTGCTGGGATCACAGGCATGTGTCACCATGCCTGGACTTAGTCCAGGCCCAGGGGCAGGGCTGGTTTGGAAAGTGGTACCCAGGATCAAACCGTGGTCCCTGTGCTTAACTAAGCAGGCCCTTAGCCTGCTGAAGTATCTCGCCAGCCTTTGCAACTGTTCTCTTTTGTATTTTTTATTTTATTTATTTTTTTTTTAGGGAAGTGTGTTCAGGGTCTCACTACTAGACTGGACTCATAATGATCCGCCTGTTTACAGCCTCCCGAGAGTTAGGATTACAGGCCCGCACCACCACACCCAGTCTCAATTGCCATCTCAGCATGCCCCCAGGGGTGCGGGGCTGGCACAGCAGGCCCGGAGATCAAACCCCTGGCCACTGCACCTACTTGCAGGCGCTTTAATCTGCTGAGCTATTTGGCCGACCCCTGTCTTCTTTATATGAGACATGTGCTTTATAATTTTTCATGGTCCCGTTACTCCCAGTTGTCTTATATCAGTGTCTTAGTCTATTTGCTGTTGCTATAACAGAATATATGAGCCTGGCTAATATGTAAAGAAAAGAGGCATATCTAGTTTATGATTCTGGCAGTCTAAGAGCACAGTGTCATTTGTGTGGAATCTTGTAAGGGCCTTCCTGTTGGATTATGATATAAAAGAGGGCTGTCATTTAGTGAGAAATAGCAAGCCAGAGAGGGCTTCCTTTAATAACAAAGCCATTGCCTCAGTGACCTCACTAATCCAATAATCCACATTCAAGTTGATCCAAGTATTAGGGCAGAGTCCTTCAGACCCAAACATCTTTCTTTGTTTTTTTTTTTTTTTTGGTGTATGCACATAACGTACTTTACCCAGTCACCTCTTAACACTGTCACCTGGCCCCACCTCTTAGCAGCTCACAGTGGTAATTCAGTTTTACTGTGAGTTTTGGTAGAAACATTAAAACCATAGCAGTCTGTATACTTCTCTCATCTAAATTTCATGCCCAACCCATATAGATATCTAAGTTTGCAGCTCTGGTCATTGGAACTATGGTGATTAACTTAAGGTTTCTGCCCTTTTATTAGAATCGTATCCCAGGGCCAGGGAGATGGCTCGATAGAATAAGCACCTCCCTGGCAAGCACAAGGGCCTGAGTTCAATCCCTGGTTCTTAAAAAAAAAAAAAAAAAAAAAAAAAAAAAAGATCATATCCCCCTTAAGAGAAAAAAAAAAATGCTAACATTATTGAATGAGAAACCAGAAGCTCAGCGGTATTAACTGACCCTGTTTACACCAGCGTCTGGTAGATGCCTAGGGTTCCCACTACTTGCAATACAGCAGGATTGCAAGTATAGGGGGATTCTGAGCAACTTAGTGAGATATTATCTCAAACAAGCAAAAAAGTGCCAGTGACATAGCACAAGGGTATAATGGTTGTCTAGCATGCATGAGGTCCTTAATTCAACCCCTAGGACAGCAAATCAAAAAAAAAATCATGTTTGTAGTAGAAGCCTTACTTCAGTAGAAGCTGAGCCAAAGTTTATTTCCTCACTCTAGCCACTTCTCAGACAAGTACTTAGACACACAGTTATCTTATAGTTTCAAGCTTGATACCAGATGGTCATCAGATTTGGTCATAGTCAAAGACAGAAGTTTCAGAATCTGTACACCAAGTTTTGCAACATACACTAACAATGAAGTCATACTGTACCGATCCATGTTCCTTATAGCAGGTCCCAGAGGTCCTGATATGTTGCAGGATTATTTAGATATTATGAATGGAGAGCAGTGTGTATGCCATGTGTATAAGGCAGCAGCCCAGGGGACTTAGGGCAGCACTCCAGAATCAACTATCTGAATTTCTCCAACAGCATCTATGTGTGCCTGTAATCAATTCATAGCGTCTTGGCTC